TTCTCCTTTGCCTTTCGCTTCCCTTCTTTCCTCAGCTATTTGCAAAGCTTCCTCAGACAGCCATTTTGCTTTCTTGCATTTCTTTTTCTTTGGGATGGTTTTAGTTGCTACCTCTTGTACAATGTTGCGAACTTCCATCCATAGTTCTTCAGGCACTCTGTCTATCAGATCTAATTCCTTAAATCTATTTGTCACCTCTACTGTATATTCATCAGGAATATGATTTAGTTCATACCTGAGTGGCCTAGTGCTTTTCCCTACTTTTTTCAATTTAAGCCTAAATTTTGCAACGAGAAGCTCATGATCTGAGCCACAGTCAGCTCCTGGTCTTGTTTTTACTGACTGTATAGAGCTTCTCCATCTTTGGCTGCAGAGCACATAGTCAATCTGATTTCTATGTTGACCGTCTGGTGATGTCCATGTGTAGAGCCGTCTCTTGGGTTGTTGGAAAAGAGTGTTTGTTATGACCATCGTATTCTCTTGACAAAATTCTATTAGCCTGTGCCCTGCTTCATTTTGTACTCCAAGGCCAAACTTGCCTGTTATTCCGGTTATCTTTTGGCTTCCTACCTTAGCATTCCAATCCCCCATGATGATAAGGACATCATTTTTTGGTGTTAATTCTATAAGGTGCTGTAGGGCTTCATAGAACCGGTCAATTTCATCCTCTTCAGCACCAGTGGTTGGGGCATAGATTTGGACTACTGTGATATTGAATGGTTTGCCTTGGATTCGAATTGAGATCATTCTGTCGTTTTGGGGATTGTATCCCAGTATTGCTTTTCCTATTCTTTTATTGACTATGAAGGCTACTCCATTTCTTCTGAGGGATTCTTGCCCACAGTAGTATACCTGATGGTCATCTGAGTTAAATTCACCCATTCCTGTCCATTTTAGTTCGCTGATTCCTAAGATGTCGATGTTCAGTCTTGTCATCTCTTTTTTGACTACGTCTAGCTTGCCTTGATTCATGGATCTTACATTCCAGGTTCCTATGGAGAAAAAATCTTTACAGCATCGGACTTTCCTTTCACCACCAGATATATCCACAGCTGAGCGTCCTTTCGGCTTTGGCCCAGTCGCTTCATTCTTTCTGGCGCTACTAGTACTAGCCCTCTGCTCTTCCCCAGTAGCATATTGGACACCTTCCGACCTGAGGGGCTCATCTTCCAGCGTCATATCTTTTTTCCTTTTAGTACTGTCCATGGGGTTTTCATGGCAAAGATACTGGAGTGGTTTGCCATTTCCTTCTCCAGTGGATCACATTTTGTCAAAACTCTCTGCTATAACCTGTCCGTCTTGGGTGGCCCTGCACGGCATAGCTTATAGCTTCATTGAGTTACGCAAGCCCCTTTGCCACGACAAGGCAGTAATCCATAAAGGGGTGTCTGTGATTAGCATCATCTATTTTCCTTTTAAATGAACTTGGCATTTCCAAAATTTGGGAAATCATATACTTGAATTTTCCTGTTTGAAAAGATAAAACTAAAGCAGCAGGAGAGGAGAGCAAACATGATAGTGGTTTGGCTCTAGGCTGATTATTTTCTTTTGATCTAAAGGAATGGCATCATTCCTGCAGTCTAATGTGGAAGGAGCAATCAAAAAGTAGGAGTACCTTTGTTTAATTTGAAGGTCTGGCTTACAAATCCTAAATGGTTTGTCTTCACACTCTCTCTCCCCTTTAGTATAAATTTCCATGTAGTGTTGGTGTTTGAGTCATGGTATGTGGGTGTACTTTTAATGTACTATCATTTATACTAATTTTTCTGGTCTTTTCTGCCTTAGATAATTGAATTGCCAAACTATACAGTGAGTCTTATCTTATAATATAGTAAGAAACAGTTACATTCTATAAAGAACTTGCAATATATTCTCAGCAACAAGTGATCTAGTTTTCATCTGTAATTTAAAATTTGATCTGACCATGAAATATATAGTAGCAATTAAACAGTTATGAATGTTATCTCTCTCTGTGTTATATGATAAGGTCAATACACATAAACACACACACACCCCTGTCAATTAACTTTTGTGATATCTTGAAATAAGAAAACAAGAAGAGCCCTACTGGATAAGACTATAGTATAGATCCAACTAGATGCTAAAAACATTCTATCCATATTTACTGACTGAAAGCAATAACGAAGCAACCTGGCTTATATAATTTTAAATGTTTGGAGAAAAAATATTTCTAATTTGCTATGTAATAAAATTAATAAAGATTTACTGCATAGGAATCTTCTAGGTTTGTAAGGGCTTAAAATTGATTTGTATGATTTATGTTAATATGCTAGTTAGAATGAGAAATGTAGCAACCTGAACTAGATGAGATTTGTCTATAGTAGTTCATGCCTTTTAAAATGATAGACTTCTGTGAATTTTAGTTAGGAAATGGTATATAGAATGCCGTTTTTATTACATGACTTACCTCTAAAGTTCCTGGCACATGACAATAACAGGATATGACAAACACAGCCTAGAGAATTTCCTCTAGAATTCTAGAGAGGGTTTTCCAGTAGATTTGCTCATTTTTTTCTCAAATGTCTGGCTGATCACTTGAGGGTGACATATGGTAGAAACATGCTTTGAGGGACAAGCCTCCTGTATGGCAAACAGTACCATGCAAAACAGACAGATGGTGGCTTCTTCAACCTTGGAAAGTTGTTTAATCCTACATACTGGCAAAGCCTAAGTGTAGAGAGAGACAGAGAGAAAGCTATACAACCTTAATGGCATCTGAAGCAAAGATGCAATGAAACTGCTCAGATAGCTTTATACTTTCAATGTAACAATGTTGATCTGATATAATCAAATAGAACAATCCTGGTTGTTTCAATATATATATATATACAGTAAATAACAAATAGAATCTCTTTTTTGAAATTCATATAAAAAGAGTACGCTTGAAAAGATATTCATCTGAATTGTTCAATTGCTCAGGAGAGAGATACATTTTTTTAAAGTCTATTTTGAAGTTTATTTACATGTTTGTTAATTATATTTTTCCTGTCTCCCAATCTTCAGTATTTATTATATTTTTCTTTGTATGATTGATTGATTAATTATGTACTATCACATGTTAACTCTTAGCAACTGCATAGGTGGATTTTCTCCATGACAATTTGCCCCTAACTTGGTTTTTCCATCCTTAATGATACACCCATCACCATTGCAACAGAGTCCGTACTGATGGGCATCTTCTTCTCTTTTCTTCTATCTTTACCAGCATTATCACCTTTTTTAGAGAACTAGCTCTTTACATACAGGTAATCTTTAACTTACAACCACAATTCCTTATCTTCTTATGACTATAACTTTGTTATTTGTATCTTACGATTCATATTAATAGTTTTATTTAGTATCCTAAATGAAAGCCGTGGTGGCGCAGTGACACAGTGGTTAGAATGCAGTACTGCAGGCTATTTCTGCTGATCGCTGGCTGCCAGCAGTTCGGCAGTTCAATTCTCACCAGTTTAAGGTTGACTCAGCTTTCCATCCTTCCAAAGTTGGTAAAATAAGGACCCAGATTGTTGGGGGCAATATGCTGACTCTGTAAACCGCTTAGAGAGGGTTGTAAAGTGGTATATAAGTTTAAGTACTATTGCTATCCTAGTATGATTTATTTTGATTGCTTATTTAGTATCCTATGACCATCACTGAGTGTTGTATCTTACGATTTATCACTTGTTGCTTATATCTACACTGCGAGGTTATGCATTGGAAAGAAATTCCTTGTGTATCCAATCACACTTGGCCAATAAAGAATTCTAATTCTAATTCTAAAATTAGGACCAGAATACTAAGTGATATGATTGCTAAGGGAGTTACACCTGATTTTATGAGTTTGTTTTGCCACGGTCGTTAAGTGAATCCAGCGTTCCCCATCGACTTTGCTTGTTGGAAGCCCCCTGGGAAGATTGCAAATGGCAAATCTTGTGACCCTGAGACTTTGCAACCATAGTAAATACATGCCGGTTTGCCAAATGTCTGAATCACAGTCATGTGACCCGATGGGGATACTGTGACAATCATGAGTTGAAGGACTGGTTGTAAGTCTATAGAGATTCTCAGTCATCCAGGCCACGGTTGTCCCAAAGGTATTTTTTCAGGCAGCAACTGGACTTTCTTGTTTTTCTTTGAAGGCATTTCGCTTATCATCCAAGAAGCTTCTTCAGCTCTAACTGGATGGTGGAGAATGAAAGGATTTATATTGCAGACCAGCTGTCTGCAAGGAATATAAATCCTTCCATTCCCGCCATCAGTCAGAGCTGAAGAAGCTTCTTGGATGAGAAGAGAAATGCCTTCAAAGAAAAACAAGAAAGTCCAGTTGCCACCTGAAAAAGCACCCTTGGTACTGGTTGTAAGTAACTTTTTTCATTGCCATTGTAATTTCAAATAGTTATTAAGTGAATGGCTGTAAGTTGAAAACTGCTTGTAACACGTACAACGTAGGTTAATTTGAGCCTGTTCATTTGTACCTTGAGTGAGAATTCTAGATTAATTTACTCAATAATTAATTTGTTTGGTTTCTTGGCTGTCCATGGTATTCTCAGGAGTCTTCTCTAATGCCAAAGTTCAAAAGCATCAATATCCTTCCTATCCTGCCTCTTCATTCCTTGTATAATATGTAATAAGAAACTACTGTATGTAGAGTAGCATAAAAATTTGGAATGTATGTACAAACAGTAAAAAACACTAGTAAGATTGTTTAATTTTTTCTAATTATTTTTTAAATATTTAAAAATATGGGTAGTGAAAACAATTACTTCTTAGCAAGTATGACATAAGTATAATAAATGAGAATAATAATTAGTGAAATAGAGTCAAATAGATCTTTATTCTCCTGTGTAGAAAAACACATTATTTTTTCCTCTAAGCAGTTGATAATTTGTCTTGAAAGTCCATCTTTCAACTGAGATCACAACAGAGGTTCATCAAGGTCTTCCTGGAGAAGAAGTTTTGGAAATTTAAAACATTTTTTTGTCTGTTTTTCCCCACAGAATAACTGGTATTACTGGATGAACAGGACAATGGTTATAAACTAAATAGAATTCTAAGCTCCCTGAATCAATCTTGGTGAGTAACATGATTTGCATATTTTTTATATAATACTTCCTACTGGAAAAAAATTATACTTTTTATTGTAAGTGGCTGTATTACTGTCAATCACAGTTATCCCTCCATCATCAACAGTGTCTCTTCTCCTAAGCACTTCCAAATCATACATTAGAAATGCTGTGTTAAGATTTTAAAATATGGCTGTTTTAATGGAAATAATATGCAACTTTTCAATAGTTAAAATGAAAATTTTAATAATAAATATCTTATGTGTGTTTTGATAAAATCAGAATATATACTTGCAATAGATTTAAAGAAATGATAGCTAACCTGCTATAATTATCTGAATGAGTGTAAATGACTGAAATTAATAATTACCAATACAATATAGCAAAGATATAATAAAAACTGTTAATTGCTATAAGCTTGGCCTTGGTTTTTCATAGCTAAACTGAACTAGACAACTCATGATCCTTTGGGTCATTGTTTCAGAGATATTTCCTTATCAGATTCCTTATCTTTAGCAATGATAGACTTTCTAATGTTTTTGAAAAGTTTTTAAAAATTTAGGGAATATTCAGAGATATATCTACTTGAAAATAGCCCATATTGAACTATAGCTCAGTCAAACATCAGCACAGGAAGTGTTTTATCCCATTTTGTATTATGCTATAAACTGTCTTATGATTAATTTTATTCCATAATATATTTTATAACATATGGCAGATTGTGATTTTGGATATATTCTGGAGTTAGTCCCTTTGATGTACTTGGTTTAAAATATTTTTGCTCCACTTTCCCCAATTAAAGGTTACAGAAAAGAGAGTTTTAATAGTATATGGATCACTAAGTAGATGCAAGGTGTTATATGCTACCATCAGGTAATCAATTTTTTTAGATATAGAAATTATTAACTGGCTGTAGTTCAACTCCCCCCCCCCCAAAAAAAATCTTCATTTTCTGTGAAATCACCCTGCCTACAATGAAGACAGTATTACTTTCTCCATACCCTTAACAAAGAAACAAAAAATCTCCAATTATGAATAACATTACAAAATGCACTGAAAGTCAACGTAGTGTAGAAGTTAAGGTATTGGTTTACAAAGACTACAAAGACCTCCTCTTTGACCACAGATCTTACTGGTCACTTTTTAATCTCTTCTATATCCAGTGCATCCCACAGGACTATAATGCCAATGAGATAACTATATTGCATGATAAGATTAACATCAGACCACAACCATTCTCAGTTGGATACTAGTTAACTTTAAAAGATCTAGAAGATGCCCAAAGAAATGCTGGGGAGATGATATAATTCAAATACAGGATTAACTGAAAATGATTTGTGTATTGAACCAGTTGGAAACTAGCTGAAGTTGTCTTTATCCTGTGATAGATTGTTTTGGGCTGATTTTAATTTTATCTCTACAGTATTTACTGTATAGGTCAGTGATGGTGAACCTTTTAGAGACTAGTGCCCAAAAACTGGCCCTGCCCCACTCCCACTCTGCCCCCACCCTGCCTGCCTGCCTGGCCACTCACCGCCTCCAGGGCCTGCCGCAGATCGTCCAGGCAGCCCAACAGCAACATGGCGGCCATGCCCTCTGCCTGCGCCCTGCAGCATCAACTGTGCGCGATGGGGTGTGAGGGCAGAGTCTTGTCCATGCTGTCTGGCTGCCATGTCCTTGGCTGTGCTGCTCCACGTGGGCCACGCTCGGGGTGACTCTCCTCCAGGGGGGCTTCTGGAGAGGAAGGGGTCGCAGGGGAGGCGAGGCTGGGGCAACAGCACGTGTGCCCACAGAGAGGGCTTCGAGTGCCACCTCTGGCATGCATGCCATAGGTTCGCCACCACTGGTATAGCTATAGCTTATACTTTTTACTTATATTAAACTACCATAATAATAACAAGAGATTGAAATGTTGTGAGATCAATCATGAAAGTGATTTCAGTAATCTTACATAAGTAAGTTTAGTAATATTTTGTCCTTCAGGCCAACATGGAAAAATATGTAATCAAAGCTGAGTAGCATTTATTGCTACTGGCCCGTTTGGTGAATATGGCTCACCTTATTTAAACTTGATTTACTTTGTGGACTACTGCTGGTTTACTTATATCCAGTGTGTGTGTGTGTGTGTGTGTGTGTGCATGTGTGCATTTACGTACATACATTGGAATGATTGGCTGCTTTGTCATTCACATTTGCAAAGTGATCTGCTTAGTTTTTCACAATACCTATTCAAGATCAAAGTAACATTATTCAAATAAGGTTTTCAATTAGTTGCCCATAGTATATACTGTCAACTATTTTTAATTTGTCTGTGGCAAAAGCCAATGATACAAAACTCAAAACATTTCCTTTCCAGTTATAGTTTTAAATAAAACTAAATTAAGAAATGCGATTAAAAGATGGCATTGCAGCAACTTCCTAATTGCTTCGCCCAACCTTTTGTCTCTGAAGAGTTTGGGGACAAAATTAGGGCCTTCCACATTGCTGCAAATAGGGGAGGAACAATATAGAAGGAAACAAAACCACCAACTATGGAAAGTAGTGGAGCTCTGTCTCCAAGGAACATTTCAAGGCGTCATCTTCAGATGCAGACCTGGTAACTCTGTTATATTTCAAATTGCTTTTCAAGGAAACAAATATAACAAAAATGGAAACTTGTTTCTGGCTTGGTACCGAGTCTATAGGCTAGGCTGCCTCTTTCACTTTGTAGGCTATAAAAAAAATGTCCATCAAATTGATTTGCTGCACATGTTGGTGACCACAAACTTCTCTTAAACAGTTGATTCAAAATGACATATATTTCGATGTCTGCAGTCTACTAGATGAAATGTGTGACACATATAGCACTTAGGATACAAGCCCACTGTTTGTGAAAATAGCTTGTCTGCCTAAAAATAGACAAAAGGTTTCAAACTTTTTTTTCATCCCTTCAGTGTCAGAGAAAGACCATATGAACATAAATCAAAGCTGACAAATTGATTTGCAAATGTGTATATAGTTAATGTTCATACAGGTGCAGTACGTAATGCAGGTGAATATTTTAACTCTTCTATTGCCTGTATAAAATATTATCATACAATATCTTTTTTGTTGTTTTTGTCCTATATTTAATGCAGTATAATGTCTTATGGCTGATTTCTCACTTGATCAGTTGTCAAAAAGTAGATCAAAAGAGTTGATTGAGATTTATATCAATTAAGAGTCAACAATAAATAAAGTTTTCCTGATATCTGGGAATTTCTTCTTCACTTTGGAATCTGATAGGAACTGCATTGCTTGCTTAAATATTGCTTTTTATTCACTTTATTTATTTGCTTTTTTTATTCTGCTTGCTCTGTGAGTAGAACAAATATTTTAACTATGAGAGAGCTAATGCACTATTATTTGTGTATATACCATATCTGGTATTAGACATATCATTAAGAAACCTGAGAAAGAAAGAATCACCAAAGAAGACAGAAGACTAAAATAATGTAATTCAGGTTGTGTGCCATATTGTTGATTACCAGTAGAAACAATAAATGACACATTGCTACTCTAGTACTTCCATACTTAATTTCAATACTAACTCTTGATAGTTTAGGGAAAGAAATGCTTGGAACAAAGCCACAAAAATTTTCTGGCATGTTAATGCTATTATTGGCTGGAATTCTAAGCAATAATCTAATCAGGCAAAGGAAGCAATTTCTATCACTTCAGATTTTAACTTTTCTCACAGGATTCAATTTTGTTCCCAGATTCCTCAAATCTGTAATACTACTGTATGTTTTCAGGTGCAAGGGGAAGAGAGGCTCCATTCCATGGTAATAAAAATTATTCTGACTGGAAAAGAAACCAGGATCCAAATAATGGTGTAATTGAAAATTATTTGGGAGAGGACAATCCAATAGTGTTTGTCATCCAAACTGTATTATACACAGAGGTTTAGAATGGGTAGTACTGTATATGCTGAAAGATATTAAGAAAGAGGAGGATGGACCCAAGCTAAAACTGCTTTTGACAGAGCTCACAATTGAGTTAAACCATATTGTGATGTCTTTGATTTTGACTTGACATCGTGTGCAAATCCAATCTTTATGGATGAGAATCATGCTTTATGTGTGAATCCAGGTTTTGAAACTTGTTTAAATATACAGTTAACACAGTAATAGCAAGATTTTGGGGATTTCAGTTTGCTGGGAAAATAGTTACCTCTGGCCTAATTAGTAACGTTAAGATATACTTTTTCTTTTAGAGTTTTCTTAAATTTCCAATGTCCCAAAAACCTTTTAGTAAAAATTTTCTATATCTGGTTGCTCTGATGAAGTAGCCTGCAAAGAGACCATCCTCCCCCCCCCAAAAAAAAAAAATTGAAGGGAATTTTAAAGAATTCAAACTGTCATTTCTGGAAAATGTAGTTTATGCCTTTTTGTTGTTACTTGGTGTTTAATGCAGGTTACATTCTGCTTCAGTATTTTCCTCTCAATATTAAGAGAAACAGAAAAATGATGGCTTTAAAAAGAAATTGTAAATAATATCTGCATCTTTTCCACTTAATCCTATTCTGATAAAGGTAGAAAAACACAGTAATCATGGGTAGTCAAGAGACATTACGTAGTTCCCATCTTGATTACACTATTTTTATCAGCTTGGAAAGAGTTTTGCTATACACTAAGAGTACAAGTAATGATACGAGGTTGGAAGGAAGACAGTTTCATAGGTTAGAGCTTCTTAAAGTGTGGTCCTAGGTCAATGGTTCTCAACCTTTTTAATGCCGCGACCCCCAACCGGTCGTAAGTCGAAGACTACTCAACCGGTCGTAAGTCAAGGACTACTCAACTGGTGCAGCACCGTTTGCAGAATGGGACTTTTGGCGGGCTCAGCAGGGCAGAGACAGCCTGGACAATTCCTATTGGCTTTTGAAAGCCAATAGAATTAGACTCTATTCAAGAGAGTCTATTCTATTGGCTTTCAAAAGCCAATAGAATAAAAGGGAGTAGCACAGCTAAGGAAAAGGGGAAAAAAATGGCG